CTGGCTAATGCTGCAGGCTACTATATTAACATCTTCTCAGTTGTACAGGCCTTCCTTTGTATTTTCGTGTGCCTTGTAAACTAGGAGTTCCTTGGGGGTAGGAAGGCTGTGTCCATCCATCTGTTTATACAAGCATTCTCGTTAGTATTTTAACACTCATCCACTCAAATGCTGCCTGATCCCTATCTCTCCCCCCCTTGGAGTGGAGCTAAGAGGCCTTGAATGGGAACATGTGCAGTTCTCAAGGTGGTACAGCAGCTGCACTTTGTACACTGCCTCCCAGAGCTCTGGCTAAGGAGTATTTACTCTGAACCTCGTGCAGACGTACTTTTTTAGGGCACAGCTGTCACTGTGGTACTATATATTCCCCCAGAATACAGAGCTGCTCACAGCAGAGAGTAGTAAGAATTCTCTGTGGTGCATTGAATGTAACATGTGATACTTCCAGCCTGCCCACTTGCTTTAAGCCAGGGATATTGGAAGTCAGATGTCTGCCTTGTAGGAAATTTGTGAGGGCTGAAAATTCCCATCTCTGAAGCAGCACATGTTCCTCTGCTTTTCTGAGAGGCATGAAAGATGCTTGCCTTTTCAATATGAAGTTTGTGCTTGGGCTGGAGGCACTGAAGAAACACTATTAAAATTAGATCTGTCGTTGGTACCTTGGCTTGGATTTTGTAAATCAGTTGTCAGAACTGGCTGTGCCTTGAATCTCTGGTGAAAGTCTCTCTGTAGCCTTAAATAAAGGCATTTGTAGCACCCAGCTACTGAAAGCTCTGTTGTAATCCAGAGCAAGTGAGCTAAGACTGTTACAAAGGTTTTCTGAAATAGTCTAGATTTTTTAAGAAAAAAGATCATGGTCAAATTGAAAAATGCACATTTGGCCTAGACAGTTATATGTTTCCCTCTGTTTGTTACCTCTGTTCATAGAAGAGAGGCTGAGACAAGAGCAAACTAGAACTTACTGTGTAGATCTAGATTTGCATTCTGATTCCAAGGGTTAATTAACATTTGTCCTTCAAAAGTATTTTTAAAAAATATTTTTAAATAGAAAATATTCCCTAAAGATTTCACAAATACACAGTGAGCTCTTCTCTGCTTGTGATTATATTTAGTAAATTTTAGTAGATCAGAGATGAATTTTCAAAGGAAAATACCAACAGATAAAAGATAAACACTTTGCATTCCATTCCTTTCAGCTGGATCTTTAAAAATGGGAACAAGATAGTCTTGAAAGTGCCTTGACACTTCAGATCTGGCTGCCCTATATCTCCATCTGTATGCTGGTATTTTGTCCCCAACAATTACTGACTGTTCTCAATGTCTGCTGTTAATGCATGCTGTGACTTCTCTTGAAACTCTCTCAGCTTCTAACTAAAATAGATATAATTTTGTGCTTCAATTTTTGAATGTTTTATACAGATTCTGCATCCAGTCCTTAATAATGCCTTCTATATAAAGCTCTACGGGACCAAAAAATCTAGCATGCTTTTAGACATTGGAAATACTGGGGGAAGAAGTAATTCTTTTCTGATACTTATTATTTTTCTGAATTACTGATACAATAAATTGGGTCCATCTTTTATACCTGTGAGTCTTGCTGTCTATGAAGTTAGAATAAGCTGAATTTAAGCCCAGAATTTGCTACCATTATTCTTAGTTGAAGAAATGACTGCAAATCCCTTTCTTTTCCTTTTCAAATATAAGAACAGTGGCTGGTAAGCCAGGATTGAGATATTTTCCTTGTCTCTCACAGTATGGTTCTCCTGGAGCTCTTTGCCTCAGAAAGGGTGTTGCAATGGCTATAGTTATAAATTCATATAAATCACAAATTCAAAATTATTCAGGACTTTTTGTTCGAGAGATTCTTTTGATGAATGTATTTTTTTTCATTTAGGGAGTGTTTCCCAGAAGTGTTATGCAGAAAATATCCCGCTATAGTAGGTGAAATCAGGTCAGTAGTTGACCTCTAAATTGGCTGTAATTCTAGGACAATTGTAGTTACCTGCTGCATCTTTAGGATATAACATTTACATTTGGGGCTGCTAAAAGCAGAAGTCAGAGAAAGTGAGAGTGGAGTCCGTGTGTTACAGCTGTATTAAACTAGTGCCAGATCTGGACTGTTTTATCCTTTCTGTGGAAACTCTGGGCTTATTTTGTTCGAACCATCACTGGGGAGTGGAAAGGGAGATATATGGGTTAGGTAGGAATTGCCATATTAGGGCAGACATTTGACTTTCAGTAACTGGGTTGATGTACAAAAAACAGTCTTTGTTCTTGATGAGAGAAAGTGTGTATGTGTGTGAGGGAGGGGTGTCCCAGAATTTGGAACCAGCTGTCTGGCTACTGGAAACACCAGCATCACACAGCTAATGTTTTGTGGCAAGAACTTGCATGTTTGATGAGGAAGTAAAAGGTAGAGTCTTAGAAAAGTGTTGTGTGGTGATTATTTATTAAAAAACCTCTATCAAGCAGGCTCAAGCCTTGGTGTCTGCCTGACTGGCAAACAGTTCATGTTAATAGAGAAAAAGGATAATTTGAGAAAGACTGAAGTGTCCTACTCGATTCAAGTCTTACAGACTCAGACAAATGAGTTTGGCATTAGTTCACGTTTTACCCTTTCCTGACTTCTTATTTTATTTCAAATTCTGTTTCTTGATATATTTGGAGGACTGAGCAGGTACAAGTACATATGGGTATGCAAATAATCTGTATTCTTTATAGGCTTCTGGATTCTGTGTACTTGGCACAATGCAAGTCAGTAAAATGCATAGAAGCTAATGTTTGTATATAATAATGGCCAGTCTTCGCGAACGAAGATTTTGGGAAAGGTCTTTTACCTTTCCAGCCTGCGCAATGGATTTTTTTAGGTGAGACACAGCATGCGCTGAACTGAGCCCACCCTTTAATCCTAAGGTTCATCTGCCGGGGCCAAGCAAGCTTGGACAATGGCAGTGAGGTCCTCAGGATGTAGGTTTGTTTAGAGTGACCTTCTCATAGATGGATGGCCTCACAGGGCTAACGGGCTCCATCTGCCCGGGGGACCGAGGAATCGAACCCGGGTCGCAGCAGTGAGAGTCCTCCATGCTAACCACTAGGCCACCAGGGGTCCCTAATGTTTGTATAATAGGTTAGGAAAACAATGTTTGGAACATGAATCTCTTGTTTCTATTAATCTCTTTCTATGAGGGTGTATTAGACTACAGAATAAAACTCCATCTTTGAAACTACCACAAAATATTTCTCCCACCCCTCGGTGCCTTAACACAAGAAAAATGCTTTGGGGGGTGGTGCTGCCATTATCAGTCACTTCTGCTTGCTTGAGAACATTATATCTGTGGCTGTCTTTCACTCAGAAAACATAGAACTCTTATTGCTTCTGTCTCTAATGAAAACGTATAAAAACTTATCCCTTCCAGTCAGATCAGTTCTGCGATGTTATTTACAGTGCCTAATTTGAAAGTAATCTTTATTTTAAGCAATGTCTGAGTAAGCAGGGTGCTGTGTTTTAGCTCCCTGATACTAAAGCTTGTGTTCTAGTAAACTCACAGCTCCCACTGTCAGGCTACACTGTCAATTAGGCTGCCAGCCTCAATACTGAACACCTTTAATGGGATGTGAAGAAAGGGTTGGGGTTTTTCCCTTCTTTTGCTTATTTTTCTTTGCCAGTGAAGAGCATAAATAAGCAGTCTGGGGAATTGTTTTGGAAGGAGTTTTTCATTTTGAGTATGTACATATTTATAAGTGTTTTGAGGTCATATTAGGGAAGGGAAGTTCAGGAATTCCACTTCACACTTAGAAGTGTTTGAATTTTTGTTGGGTTTTGGTTTCCCTAAGAATTTAACTTCACAGTTTCAGCCTGGCTGAATTCACAGGGGAGTTTTGGCTCGTAATCAAACACATCTTTCTTTTATGTCCTCTGTACTGAAGGAACAGAATTTTTGAATGCAGCCTTTGTTGTAGTATTTCAGAAGATCCTTGGGCTTTCTTAGAAGTGAGGAATGTAAGGCAGCAAGTCTCTAAAAATAAGAGCAAAGACCTATAGCTTATGTCCATATGCTTCAAGTTCTGAGTGCTGAAAGCAGAGGACATCTCCGATGTGTGCACTAAAACTTGTCTGACTGTCGGTGTGTGAAGGCTCTTCTGTTTTAGTTGGAGTTCCCCAGTGGAGTCGAGTTTCATAAGTAGCTGCATTGGTGTCATCCATATGGAAGCTGAGACTGCTGTGTAGAGCTGAGGTCAGGGCACTGTCTATTTGGAGAAGATGCAGTTCACAAGGTACCTGGGGCTGTGTTACCATAGTGAATGACCAGAATTCTGAACTGTTGTGTCAGTGTTTGCATTTGTAGTTGAAGCATTGTGGCTTTTTATTTCTAGCAGTGCCAGTCTGTCTTTGGAGTGTGAGGTCCAATAGGTTGATGAGATCATCTTGGGGATGTAGTGATCTGCCTTGGTAATGGAGCTGTAGTTGTATGTAGGTAAGGTTATCCTATAAAGCTTGCTATAAAAGAAGCAAAGCATGCCCAAGGCCCCTCACACACAATCATTTTCTGTCTGCTCAATAAAATTAATTAATTTTGGGAAAATGGCTTTTAGGAGGAAAAATACAATAAAATCAAGCAGTAGATAGTAGTTCATTAGTTTTCTGCTTCTGAGTAAAGTCTCTATATACTACTATAATATAAATAGTGATAATTATCCCCTTGAGGGAGAGATAATAGGCAGTAAGGAAACCACTACATATGGCTTAAACTCTCAAAATGGAAGTAATGACAAGTAGATGTTGTCCTGGACCTCTGCAGAAATGTGAGTTAACTTTGATTTGTTTAATTGCCACAAATGTTGTTGTTTCACCCATACAATAGTAGATACAGCTAGTGTTGTATCTGTTAGCGTATTTATTGCTGTATGTATTCTGTATTATAATTCAGGGTGAGTTCTCCAACTGTTTTGTGTACAGAATAACTTATCCTGATGAGACCTTTTTTTGTTTTCCTGCACAGATTACCCCTGGCAGCAAGGCAGCACAGTCACAGATGAACCAGGGGGACCTTGTGGTGGCCATTGATGGAGTCAACACTGACAGCATGACCCACCTTGAGGCCCAGAACAAGATCAAATCAGCCAGCCACAACCTGAGCCTCACTCTTCAAAAGTATGTTGCTATAAGTTAAAGTCTTTGCATTCCTAAGGGCATCCTATGAAACTCGTGACTAAGAGTTATAAGTGTTTTATCTCTGCCTTTCAGATTTATTTGAAGTGCTCATGACACAGATAGGAGATAGAAAGCCAAAATCTGCTCTGATTCTTGTAGAAATTGGATGGTGGTTATGTTGGAATTTAGCCCACTGAATGGAGGTGTCATGCCAGATCCACTCAAGCTTCTGTTAAATAAATTCAACAGTGATGTTTCTTTCATTTATTCCCATATGGACAACACAGTTTTGTTTGGTTCATTTATGAACCACCGTTCTAGAAACAACCAGTGAAATAACTGTTATGGGTGCACGGGAGGAACCTGTCATTCACAGGAAGAATAGTCCCAGCAGGCTGAGAATTTGTGCTGTTGGTCTGGCACCTGAGAGTTTGAAAGTGTCCACTTTGCATCTGGCAGAACGAGAAAGGTGTAGCCCAAGTGCAGGAAAGGGAGTCAGTACAACATGGCGAGGGCAGGTTTTCTCATAGAGATGTGATGGAAGTTGTCTTGCCATTAAGAAAGCAGATAATAGGTCTTTTAACTTTTCCTCGTTAATGTTGCTTCCAAGGAAACTTGTTCTCAAGTCAGATAACCTTGCAAAGAGAATTTCTGTAATAAATGCATTAATATTTAAAGCTCCATAATTATAGAAGGCAAAGTAGCTGCTAATTTTATTGCATTATGGAGAAGATAATTTTTACATAGGACAGGTAAAGACTGGTATGGAAAGCAGCTTGTAATGTGGAAGTACAAGTTAGAATATACCAAAAAATCTCATCCAGGAATGTGCAGCAGGGCTAATCAGTATCAGGAACAGACTAATACCTAAAGGAATAAGATCTTTAGCCAAGGTTTGCAAGACAGAGCAGTCTATTCCAAAGCAAAATGTATGGCTGAATTTCCCTCATGGCTTTAACTTTCAAGTTTGTCTTACAGGAGTGTCCCAGGTAGTGTATAAAATCAGTACAAAATGCAGAATGATGCTAACAAAACTGCAGCATATATGTTAGCTTTTGTGAAAACACTGGGTAGACTTCTATATTTCCTGGAAATGTAGAACTGTATTTTCTGGAAAAGGGTTTAAATTAAAGCACTTGAGATTTTGAGTTGTTCCAGGTTTAAGATTTTCCTCAGTGTGGTCTGCCTGTTCCAGTGAATGCAGAGGAGGTAGGAGGATGCATGGAATAATTTCTGCCACCTCATATGATGTGCACGTGTGCCTCATGTGTGCTTAGGGAAGATTAATGAGAAACTGAACAGTCAAAAGAAACCAGTAGCTTAATACTAAATGTGCTGAAATGGGCATTATATCAGAAGCCAGAAGAAAATAGTCTTCCAGAGCTGTTGAGGGAAGATGAGGCACTATCTTGATGTGTGTAGTGGAATTCTCATTTCTATGGCCAACTCCAGCTTCTCTTTTTCTGCACTCTAGTGCATGCTAGTTTTATTATGAATATATGTAAGATAACTTTTTTATAAAGATTTACATTGTTCTGGATTATTTTGTATTTGAAAGTTAAGGAAAATCCTTTCCGATTATTTTAGAACTTCTGTCTGCTTTTCTGTTGGATCCTTGTGTTTTTACATTGAGAGAAAATGTTTCTTATTATGCTTGGGGTTGTTGCATACTTGGAATTAATTTTCCCCAATAGTGGATCTGAAAAGTGGTCTAGTGTCTGCCTCTATTGGCCTGGCATTTAAAACTGCAACCCAAAAGCTCTCCTTCCACACAGAAGAAGGGTTTCCAAAAGTGTGACTAAAAGGAAAAAAAAAAGAAAACTAGTAGAAGTACCATTATTAATTGCTGTCATGCTCTGTTTATTGTTTCTTCTATTTTTTTAAGCCTTGCCCTATTTCTTGATTCCAAAACAATAGTATAGAATTCAGATAATCGAGTTATGTGGATAATGACCAGCCAAAGAAAGCAGTAATGGAGTACTCCACAGACTGAAATATGCTTGCCTAGATAATAGATGTAGATGAGCTAAAAATCCATTTTGAAAAGAAGAAAAATGATATAAAGTAAAATGAAATACTAGTAAGCACAAATGGGGCAGAAACGTGCTTTTTTAACAAGGGAGAACTTTCATAGGTCATGTTTTTGCTCTGAACTTACACAATTCATAGAATCTTCTCTTCAGCTGCTTTATGGTGTGAGCTCTTAGTTCATCTTGGTGACCCATTCAGCCTCACCGGAGTTATGTGGGAAAAAGAAGTGACAAGAACTGAAAAGTAATTTATTTTTTTAACAATGTTTTTTTCTTAGATGATTAGGGGCTATTCAAAGAGTTGTGCTCAGAGGCATTAAGCTGGCTTTTGCTCTGTACAGTTCAGTATTTATACAAGCTAAAGCTTATCAGCATGTGATCTCAGCCAACTGACATATGCATGGAACCCTATTAAATATCCACTATCCCAAAGACTTGAACAAAATCCACAATATTCAGGAACTTATATTAATCTTGAAAAATCACTTTTTTCCTGGACACAAATGGGTTAATTTACTTAGGGATGAAAAGATTCTGTCAGTTTAGTCACCTTCCCAAAATTCACAATGCAATATACTTTTTTCAAAAAAAAAAATAATTTACAGGTATTGTATTGGTGAGAAGAATAACAGTTAACGTGAAAAATATGGTAGCAGGGACAAGGGATAGTAACTTTCAACCAAATAAGAACAAAACAGAAGACAGGCAGAATCTCCTGGGACTTGGTTAACAGGAAAATGACTGTGCTGAGAGATCACTGTGACATTTTTAGATATGGCTTGCAGGACGAAACTGGAGTGGAGTGTTCCACTACTGTGGAAAAACAACAAGAGTTGCCATAAAGAGCACAGAGATGGAAATGCTCACTTATTTGTATAAAAATTTGCAAACATTGGAAATCCATTCAAATGGAAAAGGCAAATATGTGTATTAGGAAATTGATTGTTGTGATAAGAAAACTTAAGCCCTAAACTGTGATGATATTGGGCATTTACATGAAGTAGTCCCATGGCTCTACAGAATATGCTTCAAGGTCATAGAAGGCCTTGCCAGGCAATCTGTGGCTTGGTTTTGTTGTTCCAGCACTAGAAGTTAGAAGTGAACTTGCTTGCTTAATCCAGTGAAGAAAGAGTGGAACATGAAATCTAGACATAAATGCTCTGAGATAGAAAGCTTTTTATTTTTCTAATGGTTCTTGGCTCTCAAGAGCAATGGCCTTTTCTTTTATTGATCCTGGCCATGAAGGTTTCATGAGCATTGTTTGTAACCTGACAGCTCAGACAGTGTTTGCTACTACTCACTTTTATTATCACAATTCAGTTCCTAGTGGTTTTTTTCAGGGTGGGAAACTGTTTATTTTTTTATTTGGCTGTCAAGAAAATCTGTAGATGGTGTCAGCACTCGTGCAGGACATCAAACTGCAAGACCTCAAACGTAGAAGGGAAGTGTTAAGAGTGCCCATTCATACTTGCCTGCCTAAACAACAAGAGTCTCTGCTTCCCTGGCTGTACTAACTTAGTTTTATTTTGAGTACCATCAGTCTGCACTGTTCAAGGCACACTAACATAGCTCTTCAATGAGTGCTAAGTGCTCAGTGCTGGCCTGAATGCAGTTCTCCATGTTTCGCTCATGTAGATATCCCATTATGGGTTCAGGAATTTGTGGATGTTAAGTTTTTTCTGACAGCTTCCTTCCCTAAGCTCCCTGTTAAATTTGTTCTTACCACCTCACCCATGCAATGTTTTCACATGAAACCACAAAATTAGACTGGAAGTCTCGCCAGCTGTGCCAGAGGTTTGATCAGGCAGCCAGAACTTGTTTAGTGGCTTGAGTGCAACACTGCTTTGTCTGGTTGCCTATTTCTCCAGAGCCTGCAACATGCCTCCCCATGCTGCTCTGGGAAGTTAAAGGATGAAGACAGGCAAGTGTCAGTATTTGGACCATTCCTGAAGAAAGAGACCTGTGATCCAATGATGTGGGAATGTATGGGACCCTCCAGACTAGCTCTGCTTGCTTCAGTTTAGAGGACGAAATACATCTAGGGAGTGAATTCTTTTTTGCTGAAGGAAAGAGAGCAGGAGTGAGGGGAGAGGGAAAGAAATGTCTTTGGCACAGTGCACCCAGTAGAATTCCATGAGGCACAATAGTATCCAGGCAAACCAGACTGATATTCTAAAACATTAGATATATGGGTGCAGCTTGTTCCTTAGAAATGTGCATTCTTCCAGGTGTAGTGAGCGGGGTGTTGGTGCTAGTTCTTCTAGACCATGCTATGGAAGGCCATGATCATACTCTAGAATGGCCTGGATCATGGTGGAAAAAGATATTACCTTGCTTATAGTTGTTTTGTGACCTCCTGGAGTTTAGTTCTCAATCATTTTCCAGTATCAGTTTCTAATCAGTTACTTGAGCTACACAGCTGCCCTCAGGCATTTTAATTCTGGGCCAGTCAAAGTTCATCTTTAACTATCTGGCTGCCCCACAGATATTAGGCCACAAACTTTTTGTCCTGCAGTATTCAGTTCACAGGTGATGAAAAGAAAAATGCATGCAAAATTTATTTTTATTTCATAAAAATGGGTTTCTCTTTTAATGCACAGTAAATGCAATGCACAAGAGAGCAGCATTATTTGTCAACATGTTTCACTGGAGCATCCACAACATTCATTTGATCTTAAGTAATCTGATCAGCCTCCTTGGAAAGGATTCACCAAATGTACTGGCTTGGTTTTGGAAAGTGCTGTAACATGAGTGCGCCTCATTCTGCTGGCACAAACATTCCTGTGTCACTCGAAGACTCTGCTTTGGCGTCACTCTGTGCTGGAGAGGAGCAGGGGAGGTGGAGACCTTCCCTGCCTAGTGTGCTTTGACAAAACCTCCCCCTCCCAGGGCATACCAGTGATGCTGCCATTTGCTTCCAGACAGTCACAACTGACTGTCTTTTGCTGGAAAATCATGAGCTAAATAATT